AGCCAAAATAATCTTGAAAAAGAGCTTCAGCGTTGGAAATTTCACATTTCTGGATTTCGACACTTGCTTCATTGCAAAACTGTGGTGCTAGCGTAAAGAAAGTCCTACAGGACAGTTGAATGAGACAGAGGAGCTCCTGGAGTTACGGTCCAGCGATCTCACAAGATTCCCAGGAAAGTACAGTCAGATGATTCCGGGGGATCCAGACATCTGTGGCAGAGAACAATATGGAACACCTGTCACCCGGTCTATCCAAAATGAACTCACAGTGGATTCAAACAAACCAGAGCTGACACTGTAAAATTCTTAGGAATGAAGTGTCATGGTCTGCATTAGACATTGATTTCCCCCAATATCAGAGTCAGGGACCGTGGTGCCAAGGTTCTGGTGAGGGCCTTCTCAGGAATGATGCTGTCACTTCTTCCACATCCTCCTATGTGGAAAGGGAGCTTGCCACCCCTGTGGTTCTTTCCAGTAAGTCATCTTCCAGAGGCCCTGCCCTCACGGGGGTGGGGGGGGGACATTTTCCACCCCACCCCCACTGTGCCAAATGGTCAGACGAAAAGGCGTCACCCTGTTGGTGTGCCTCAGGTCTGCCATGAGCACAGCTTGATTCTTGGCGTCATACAGATCTGATGGTTCAGAAAATTTCAGAAGCTTTTTCAGATGGAAATGTTTCATTTTCCTGATCATAGGCCATTCACAAGGAAAGAAATAGGACACAGATTCTTCTCCCAAGGCTGCAAGCTTTGGAGCTGTACCACGGCCTTGTCCCACTTGGTTAAGTCCCTACATGAAGAACCAGGCTCTCAGAGTGGCCCTGGGTCTGGGTCCTAGACCAAAGAAGCTTCCATTGCCAAGCCAGAGGAACTAGAGTACCACACTTTGTGCTTCAAAGCTGTGTGTGTGTGTGTGTACTTCTTGAGGAGATGGGCTCTGGGGATATTGTCACAGGCTGTCACTGCTTGGTGCGTTTACTGCTGTCCACGCTTTGCCTATGGGCTTGCATCTCCCTCTCATTCCCCCTAAAATGTCCTCACACTCAGAGCTGGTCAAATACGAGGGAACCTATGACACTGACTCCTTAGCCAGAGAACAGCAAATAGCAAGGTATGCACGTATAATCCAAAGAACTGAGGGAAATAATCTTACCAAAACAAGAAGGGAGTTTCAGTCATTACAGCAAAAGGGATCCCTTAAAAGGAATAATGGGAACTTCCCGCCCCCGCTTAACTGTGTGTTAACTGCAGAGATGATAGGCAGGACCCAGCACCTTCCTTCTTAAGAAATGTAGAGAAAGGGAGAGAGAGAGAGAGAGAGAGAGGGAGAGAGATCTTGCACCTGTTGCTTTACTCCCCAGATGGCCACAATGGGTCAGAACTGGGTCGGTCTGAAGCTGGGAGCCAGAAACAACTTCTGGGTCTCCCATGTGGGTTCAGGACCTGAGGATTTGGGCCCATCCTCCACTGCTTTCCCAGTCCACCAGCAGGGAACTGGATGGATAGTGAAGCAGCCGGGACACAAAACCAGCTCCTATGTGGGACTTGGGCACTTGCAAGGGAAGGATTAGCCAACTGAGCCGTTGTGCCAGCCCCTGGTGTAAACATTTTGAAGTCCTCTTGACCGATGCCCCATTTAGTGTCCTTCTTGAAGCACAGATGTTAACAGCTAAGAAATGACTATCTAAAGACCACTCCGCTCTCTTTCTCCCAGTAAATCTGCCTTTCCAATAAAAATAAGTAAATCTTTAGAAAAAAAAACAATTAAATAGAAAAAAAAGTACTGATTTTTTTGATTCAAGAGTTTTTGAAACCCACAAGACACATTTCATCAGCTCTCTGAAGATCCCTTGTGTAGACAGAGCGCTGCACTCTGAAACCCTCTCCTTTCCCCATCAAGTTTGGATTCCTCTGCAGGCTTCCTGGAGCAGCAAAGCAATTCCTGGTTTGTCTTGGGGAACTGTTACTAGAAAAAAAACAGGACTGCTTTGAGAAAAACGGACCCTAAAAAAGTAAAACCCCAGAGTGATTCAAAATGATCCTTGCAGCAAGGTCCCAGGATGCCTTCACAAGTGGAACCACGGGGCTGGGGTCACAGATGGAACCTGCGAACTATCCAGAGCTCCTGCCTGGCTCCCGCTCCCCTCCCCACGGCATCAAGCAGCCCTGGCACTGCATGGGCACACGTGGCATCATGTACCGCCATACAGAAGGATCCACTGGAAGGCAGCATCAGTAAATGTGTAATGAGGTCATGAGAAAGTAGAGGGGTGAGTCTGTCCGTTCCTTTCAGGCAGTGGCTTACAGGGAAACAACCTTCAGAGGAGGATGCATCTGTGCTTGTGGAAACACGTTAGCAAAAGTCTGCTGCTCCCAGTGCTGCAAATTACTTGGGGGCATTATTTCATTTTACAGTGTGTGCTGAGGACTGCATAACATAGCAATGTAAGCACTTCCAAAAATCAAGTAGTCTTCACTGTTGAGGTTCAAAGTGGCCTTTGGTGGGGATCCAGAAATTCCCCCGGAGTGGCCATGAACCATGGACCAAGTTCCATTCTCCCCAAAAATGTGCTCCTTATGGTATGGAGCTGCAGAAGCAGGCACAGGCGCTGGGAAGCAGTTGCAAAACAGAGAATTTCTCAAAGGATCAGGAGGGTGGGATCTTAAATGCGTATCTTCTTTCATATGTAAAGCTTAATTTCGATTTATTTATTTGAGAGGCAGAGAGACACAGAGCGACCATTCACTGGTTTACTCCCTAAGTGCCTACAATGGTCAGGGCTGAGCCAAGCCAAAACAGAGAGCAGGGAACTCAACCCGGGTTTCCCATCTGGGTGGTGGCCATCACTTGGTGTCTTCCAGTAGCCACACTGGTAGGAAGCTGGAATCCTAAGCTGGAGGTACCAAACCCAGATGCTCCAGTATGGGAAACTTGCAGTGCCAAATGTCTGCCATGCCGTGTCGGGGTTTAATTCTACTGTTAGATTATACCTACAAGAAGCAAAGGCCAGGCCCGGCGGCGTGGCCTAGCGGCTGAAGTCCTGGCTCTGGATCGGCACAGCACCGGCCGTTGTGCTCACTTGGGGAGTGAATCATTGGACAGAAGTTCTTCCTCTCTGTCTCTGCTCCTCTCTTACTTTGTAATAAAAATAAATAAATCTTTAAAATATATATATATAAAGAAAGTACCCATGCAGAGACGAGGATGATGTCATTGTGACGCAGAGCGGCACCAGCAGCGGGACATGGGTGCATGAGTGGAGGAGGGGCCTGCCCTTGGAGAAACCAAGAGGCCCAGGGGCTGGCAGTGGGTGTCTGTGTGACCTCCACGTTGCACAGGGGAGCAGGGTCCAGCAGGAGTGCCTGGCAAGTCGGCTTTAGCAAAGACAGGGAGTAGGCCCTCAGTGAAAGAGGTCTGGAGAGGAACTGGTGAGCTGTGCCATGTTCTGGGCAGCATATGCCATGTTCTGGGCAGCACCACTGGATAGCACCAGGTGACTGGCAAGGGCCGGGTCCTGCTCTGAGGGCCACACGGGGTGTCGAGGGTGAGGGTAGGCGCTCAGAACTGAGAAGGGGCAGCGGCCTGGAGCCAGAATGGGGTCCTACGTAGGCTGTCTGGGGGAAGCCCACGGAGTCCTGCTGCTGGGCTTGCTCCAGCGTGAGGGGGTTGAAACGAATTTCCATTTTCAGACAGCAGTAAGCCCGCCCCGTGCTTTTAATGCCACGTGAGCTGGTGACCAGTGCCTTCTTGGGAATGAAAAGTTAGAACTGGATGCCGAGGTCCCCAGAGGAGCACACGCCCTGGAGTGGCAGCAACAGTGACCCACAGGCGGGGCAGAACGAGCCAGCAAGGGCAGGCTCAGCTTCCTCCTGCAGGCATGCTGGGGCGCACCGGCTGTACAGCAGGCAGGGGCCACAGCCATTGCTCCAGCCCAGCCCTGGTTTTCCCGCTGGCCACGGGAGCAGGAGCTTGAAGGGGCAGTGCCAGCAGCTTGGCTGTGTGGCAGGAGGGCAGTCGTCACTTGGTCCAATTTGGGCCTTCACCTGTCGCCAGGCCGAGCTAGAATGGTCCATTACATAATGTCAGAGTCAGACCCTGGAGCCCATGCTTCCTCCCAACACAGCTGGGTCCGTTTATATTTTTGCAGCTGATTCCGTGATGCCCCGGGCTGTATCTTAGAAACAGGCTGTATGTGACACAAACACCCTGAAGAGGGTATTTATATTAGTGTGCTGGCCCCAGAAAAGGACAGGGGTGGCCTTCTCGTCTGGAGAGTTGGGGTGTTTTGTCACCAGGATCCACATGAGGGGTGCTTTGGAGCCTCAGTGACCAACCTAAACCAGATGTACACACTTCTGGGAGACCAAAAGCACAGGTTCCTCCCTCCCGTACACCCCCTGCTTGCACACTGCCCCCGCATCCCACCCCACCACCCCTGGCCACCCAGGCTCCCAGGAGACAGCCAGTACACGGTCGCCAATCTGCCATAGGTGGGCCAGACGGTTTTGCAGCATACTGTTCCATAGCAACAAGATGGCAACTGTTTCCTGCAAAGACAAACTCACCAGAAAACATCAGGAGGGCACTCGGGCTTCCAGAAACTTGATTTTGAACTTGTGAGCCAGCCAAGGTGTGCCCAATGCCTGACTGCCCCTGCTGCTGTCCCCCTCCCTAACCTGGGGCCCAGGCAGGCCTTGCGGGTGGAGGGGGCGGAGCTGTGCCCCAAAGTGAAGCAGACCCTGAGACTGTCAGGTTCAGTGATTGAATATGATTGTTCACCACCGAACAAGGCCAGGGCCTGAACACTAATTTTTCCTCTTGTTTATACCCCCCCCCCCCATTTTGGGGTGGGGAGGATGTTGGCAGAGATTTCCCTGTCAAAGGAAGAGTATGATCCCTTTTCAGAAAGATGGGGCTAACGTGTGAGGGTGCTGCGGTTTCTGCTGTGCACGAAGTTGACGTTTTGTTGTTCCTCATTTCTCTCCCTTCTGCCACACCAGGAAGGGTGCCTGTGGCCTGCAGACAGCGCCGTGCCGCGGCCAGGGGCCTCAGAGGTAAGGAATGACCCCTCGCCTGGGACTGCCATAGATGCTACCATATAGTCATGGCATACTCTCACCATTGTAACAGGGAGCCCTCCCTGCCTTGCTAAATAGCAGCTCCTGGGCTGCTAGGGGCCTGAGGAAGCAGGCAGCCCAGCCTGGCCTGGCAATTTATGGAAATGCCATGGCCTGGGTATGCTGCTGTGTGGTGCACTTTTGCTCATAGGTGGTGCCCTACTGTACTCTTGGAATTACTGTTGTATCCCACGTGAGCCCTTAAGGAAAACACATCCGGCACACACAGTGACCCCCCACTCACCCAGACTCCCTCTCCTCTCAGCTCCACCTTGCTGAGCCATTCTGGATGCACTGTTGCCTGGCCAGGTCCGAGGCACAAGGACGAGGAACACTCAGATGTAGATGTGGGGTTTTTTGTGTGTGGGGGGGGGTTATTTGTTTGATTGTTTTGGCGTAGTGTTTTCCCGTTTTGTGTGGAAGAACAGTATCATTCAAAGTGGTGAGAGCACTGATGTGATTTCGCGGGAGTCTTACCACAGTCACGGTTATTCAGGCGTCTCCTCTTTTCCTTCCAGATCATGTACGCCCCGCGGGCCAGGGACAGGTTCACTGCCCCAGCCTTCATCCAGAGGGATCGGTTCAGCCGCTTCCAGCCCACGTACCCCTACGTGCAGCACGAGATTGACCTGCCTCCCACCATCTCCCTGTCCGACGGTGAAGAGCCGCCTCCTTACCAAGGGCCCTGCACCCTGCAGCTCCGGGACCCTGAGCAGCAGATGGAACTGAACCGTGAGTCAGTGCGGGCCCCTCCCAACCGAACCATATTTGACAGTGATCTGATAGACATCTCCATGTACAATGGGGGCCCGTGCCCGCCGAGCAGCAACTCGGGCATCAGCGCAACCAACTGCAGCAGTAACGGGCGGATGGAAGGGCCCCCTCCGACCTACAGCGAGGTGATGGGCCGTTACCCAGGCGCCTCTTTCTTCCATCACCAGCACAGCAACCACACACACAGGGCGAGCAGACTGCACTCGGCTCAGAACAATTCAGAGAGCACAATTGTACCCGTCAAAGGCAAGGACCGCAAGCCCGGGAACCTGGTTTGATTTTTTTCCAGCGTGCACTTCCTTCCAGCCTGCACTTGCACTGAGGACAAAGAAAGCAAGGAAAGGACGGGGCTGCTCCGGGCCCTTCCCATGCGCAGTGTTGTTCAGTTTTCCGTGGTACAACTAAGTAAAAGCAAATGTGCAAACATGGTCTTTGTTTCTGATTCCTTTCAGGGGAATTGCATGTAAATGCAACTGAAATAATAGTTCCATCCGGTCTGACAGCGAACAGTGTTTATTGGGGGGGGGGGCGAGGGGGCAGGGGATTGGGATGGGTATAATTTTTGGCAAAGGGTGAGCGGGAGAAAAGAGAGAGAGAAAGCAAGTGCTGTGAAGATACCACGAAGTCGAAGCCAAGGAGATATTTGATGGATTGCATCTGGAAAGGGGATTGCAGAGTCCAGAACGGGTTGTTTCTTAATTCGTGGACAAGAGGCGAGCATTACTATACCCTTTTCGGGAGAAAGAATCAGCCGGTCTGCTTTTTTTTTTTTTTTTTCCCTCCAGGGAGTGGAACTTCCATTTTGTTTTATGAATGTGAGTGAAAATTTCTATTTCATGTGCCAAGGTCCCAAGTGGAGGCATCAGACGGACGAAAGTTGCTCATCTGTGTCGTGATGCTGTGTCTCAAAAGTCGCACTTATCCGGGGGTCTATCCTTGAGGAAAACATCGCACGTGGAGCTTGGCATGTTGTCATCGCACGTGTGGATGGGAGGATCCCAGAATGTTCCCCAGAATCGTGCAAGAGGAAAGGGATTTGGGGATACAGCCTAGGGTTTACCATCTTGCAGAAACATAGGAAAGTCCCTTTTGCTCTAAGAATTAGCATCAAGCAGCGGCATGTCACTGAGACACCTGAAACCCTTTAGATGAAACACCAAGTCTAAAGCATGTCAGGTTTGCGATTTGAGCTACTGTGCCCATTTTCAGCCACATATATTATTCAAAAGGAAATGCCACAAATGTCCGTATGTCCGGTAACCGGGCACGCTGGCCTCTCCGTCCAGTAGTGCAGTTTGAGATTTTCTTTTCACTGCAGCATGAAAGACAATTCCGATCCATACTTGATTTTCTGCAATAAATTGTGGAAAGGGCAAGGTGTATATTTCTGAGTACTGTTGAAAAATGTGACTTCCTCTCCTTGCCCCCGCCCCCACTCCGCTGCTTTCCTGGAGAGCTCAGATGTGGATGTGGCTCCACAGGAATCTCCTGTTCCCTTGCCCCACGCACAGCCCTCCCATGGGAGCCACGCCACAGGCTGCTGATGCGGAGGGAGCTGCTGAGACGCATCAGGCCAGGGCGTCTGGCGGGGGCATTGGCACAGCAGTCTGAGAGGCATGCTCACTCCAGACTTCCCCACCCTGCCCCACTCCCCTACCCCTAGCCCCGGAGCAGGGATCAGGCAGAGAACCAGGGGTGGGTAGAAGCCGGGGCCATGTTAAGAGCACAGAATAACAAAAGCACAACTTGTAGTTAACATGCAACCAGGAAATGAATCCTAAATATTCTTAGTTTTGATAGTCCTGATATTTACAAATAATAACAATAATTTTTTTAAAAAAAAAAAAAGCTTCTGCAGATGCAGGCACTGGCTTTTGTAACAGCCACAGCTGGAGCACCGACTCTGTGCCTCGCCCTACCCCATCCATGCAGCTTTCATGCCAGCTCAGTGCGTGCGCATGTGCAGTTGCACAATAGGTATCTGGGGCTCCAGGAGCTAGTGCTTCCTGGGTGCCCCTTGCTGAAAGGCAGGCAATCGCACCTACAAAAACAGATCCCAACTAACTTATTTCCGCTTCCCGACTTGGTCGGAGGGTGGCTGGGCTCTCCTGTAGACTCACTAGTTGAATGTATAAAGGAGAGGAAGAAGAGGCAGGGACAGCCACTGACCCCTTAAGCAGAAGGCCCTATTTGATGCCTACCTGAGGGACACAGTGCGAGCCTCTTGAGGCTGGACTCGGTCTTGCCCCAGTGACACTCAGGGGTAACTGAGGCCAGACGTAACCTTTCCTGTCATCCTTGCTGCTCCCCGACTTCAAGCCTCCCTCTCGTCCCCGAGTTAGGACCCTGCTTGTGGGAGACTCCACATGGATTGGTCAGTGCAAGTCAAATTGGCGCTAATGTCACTAGTCCAAATTGTAAACCAGATGAACTCCAGTCAAAAGGAGCATCACGGTCCTGACTTTCCCACCTGCTGTAAGGAGTGACGATCAGGCTTGAATTCCAAAGTAACTGCCAGGACGCAGATAAGAACGCCTTGCAGATCCCTACTGAACCGGCCAAGCAAGCTTTTAGCTCAGATGATTTACACTCCCTTGCCCTCAATCACCCTAGCCTTTTAAGTTACTGAAGGACATACACCCTGAATTGGTATTCAATCCAGTGCTGTACATGGACAGGGCATTGAGGTGAGCGGGTCCATAGCCTGCAGGAGGGCAGCAGCTGCACTGCCACCATGTGGCTGGCGGTACAGAGGCCACTTCGCAGCTCATGCTCTCTGTAGGCACCTGTGTACTTAAGGCAATGCGAGGGGCCGGACTAGACCCTGGTAGGCTTCTAGAATTCCTGGGACTGCCCTACCACAGGGACTGCTGTACTGAACAGAGGAAGCAACCAGGCACACCCTGGACACTTCTGTTCCTTGGCCCAGGGGAGGGTTATCCAAGAGTCTGAAACCAGGAGTCTGGAATCCACGGGCACAGAGTCTTCTGGCAGAGATATGCAGGAAAGGTGGCATCCCTCAAATGCTAAAGCAATTACTAATGCAAAAGAAGGTGTGGACCTGATCGTGCATTGAAGCATTTGATCTGCCTTTGAGGTCTCAAACTGACTGCTAATGAAGCCAGACAAGTAAGGCTTTTCCCCTCTCACATCACACACATACACACACACACACACACACACACACACACACACACACACACACACACACACCCCTAGCCTGCAATAATTCCCAACACAGCAGAAGAGAGTATCTAAAACTTAGATTTATCACAAGGACTATTTCCTGTTCATTCATTTTAGCTCAAACAGAGAGGAGATGAAGCAGGCGAGGTGGCTGTCTCCGTCCGCACAGGACCCGGTAGGCAGATGAGTGGTTCTTGACTATTTTTCCATTCTGCTGTCCTCAACAGGAATGAGAAGGGCCTGAAGAAGGTGCTTTAGAAAGCACCTCTGAACCTGGGAAGGGGGTGACATGCATCTGACTGTTGCTCATCACGCCTTTAAACCAAACTGGAAAGGAGAAGTGGCTTCTGTTCCATTTGCTTTCCTTGTCCAAGTGACTAGAGCCAGTGCTAGGTGCCCTGCCTGGGCCCAGGGACACAGTTGGAGCCTCTCTCCTGTCTGTGCCAGCAGCTGCCCAAGCCCTTCCAGGTCTTCCTCTGCTCACACTGACGCAAAGTCCTGTCCAGGAGGGTCTTCCATCTGTGTGCTGGGGTGGTGCTGGTCTTACACTGTAAAGGTGGCAGGGCCCAGGGCCCAGGTGACAAGGGAATGACGTTAGCAGCTTTGTGGCACACAACTGTGCAGAGATGGGAGTGAGCAGTGTCAGGCACTCGGCGCTGTGCCAGAGCCTGCGTCCTTTAGGGATCCGGACGCCATGTCCCCCAGTTGTTTGTATACCTGAGGCACCGCCATCTCTTGCATAGTTCAGGTTCATGTTAAACTACCATGGCTGGGCGGTCATCTGCTTGCTGCCGCTGCTTCTGCCATCACCACTGCCACCTTCCGAGCACTCGGCAGGAGCCTGCTGTGTGGGAACTGAGGACGACTTGCTGGGACAGCCTTGTCTTCCTTCCTCTGCTTGCCTCCCTTAGCGTGTGTTCATTTCTGTATGTTGCAGTAGGGGTCAGAGGCCGCGGAGAGCACACCACTGCTCCCCATCCCTGTCCCAGTTGTGCTCTGCTGGCAGAGACCTGTGTGGCAATTTGGAAGCCACCTAGGCCTCCGGGGATGGAGGCCCCTCCTGCACCCCTCCCACCTTTGCCGTGCCTCACTTGCAATGGTGCTTTCTCGGTTCTCCGTCTTTTCTTACGTTTTTATTTGTAAGGTGCTGTACATAAGTTGAATATATTATGCACATATCCTACCCAATGGGTAGAACAGAAAATTGTTCATACAGTGTAAAATAATGTACAGATGATATCCGTTTTAACAGAAAGGGCATAGCATTTGTGAATGCCTATGTGGTTTGTCCTCTTTTGTAAGGAAATTTGCAAATGGTTGCATACAGATAAAAGTCTATGTAGTTTATTTTCCTATTAAATATCAATATTATAATGCAAAGAAGTCTGAGCGAGCAACAGTTTCTGACCAACTACGTATATAGCAATTGAGCGTTGCATCTTTGCTGTGAAAACACCTAAAACACAACTTTGGAAAACCCCACGGCGTTTTGGTTGCCACTAAATGCTTGTGGTGATAGTCAGGTTTGTTGTACTTAGTTGCACCAGTGTTCCCACCATTTAGTCCAGTTCAGCTTGCTTTTCTGAACACATGTGATCTCCTGTTGCGGCGGAAGCAGGGTGTCAGACATCACCAACAGGTGCCCCTTTGTGTTGTTGAACCCGTCAACCCTGGCTGATTTGGCAGTGGATGACACTGCCTTGCTATAGGGACATTCACGCCCACATAGGCCCCAAGTCTCGCTGTGCCTTTTTCCTTTATGAATGGAAGCTGTGGAGCCAATGAACTAACAGTAGAGTTGTCAGGGAGAGAAGATCTCAGGAAAATCAAGTCCCTTCAAGAGAAGAGACTGGTCATAAGCAAAAATGTGTGTGGTTAACCATGAGGACTGGCTGCCAGCCAGCCGCATGGAGACACCTGTCCATTCCTGCTGGGCTCTCCTGCTGGATTCCCCACGAAGAGACTTTGTCATCAGAGGTGACACCTGAAGCTGTTCGTTAAGGTACACCTCCTGCCCAGGTCAGTTGTCAGTGTCCGGTTGTGACTTCCACATTTGAAGTCTTGTAACACCATGACCATTAAGACCACAGTCCTATCTCGGGCGTGGGTATCCCTGTGTGTTGCCCATAAAATCAGTTGGTAGAATGTTGCCCGCAGGATCCCTGTTTGCAGTTTTTAATTCTCATAGACTCCCGAGTGGTTTTTAATTGCTGTGGTGTAGTCCTCTGCACAACCTTAGGAGGTGGAAAGGCACATCTGAACAACTCTTGGTGCGTAGCTAATGAGGTCAGCGCTCCCTCAAGAACCCATTTGGAGGGGCAATGAAAGATGCTTTCGTGTGGCCTTGACTCCAGTGGGAACCATGCAGGGCTCTGCTGCACACCACAGGGTACATCCGTGGGGTCCCGTGTCAGGGTGGAGGCTTCTTACTGCCGTTACTCCCACCCCTAGGTTCCACCTCCTGGGAGAATTGGTGTGAGAAGGTTCTGGACTCGGAGACACTCAGCTGCACGCCCATACCATGGCTTCCTTTCTGCAGAGCTGACAGTGAAACCGTCTCATTTTTAACCTGCTTGGTGGTATACTGCTGGTTTTCATTTTGTAGGTTTTCAAAAATCACCTTTTTAACTGTATCCCTGTCTCGCTTAAACCTGTTTTAAAATATGTATAGTAGTATTCACAGCATTTAATTCAATTAATTTTTATGATAAGGCAATTATTAAAATGCACATGTATTTGAACTTTTTATTATTTGTGAGTTGTAATAATCAGAAATCATTAAAGTCTTTTTTTTAAAAAACCATGTTGCTTTTCAGTATAACTCTCAGTTACCCAGAGAGCTCCCACTGATGTGTATCTGCCCCCACTGGATCGAGGGCTGGTAACAGAGTTCTTAGACCCGAGGTCTGTAACTGCAATGCTTTAAGGAACGATGATGCTCTAAGTGCTGTTTCTTAGTCATGAAATCCGTTTTCTGCTTGTTCTTAATGCTATGGTCAAACCATGCCACAAAATCATTAAAAATGATCAGTGACAAACATTGGTTCTCTGGGTGTTTCTTTCTTTCTTTTTTTAAATGTCAGCCACCAAGTATAGGCATGGGAAAAAGCGACAAGTGTTTAACACCTGTCCCAGCAAAGTACTTGATGGTGCCCTAGCTAAACTTTCCACTCAGCTGTCAGTCACTCGGACTTTTCAAAAGTCATTACTTCATATTCTGCTATAAACAGCTCTGGTGGGATCAGCTCCCGGGATTCCTTCCTCGAGTCTGGGCTTCCTGCCGAGCCCACACAGGACGAGCCCAGAGCTCTGCTGCCCGCAGAGGACTCCTGCTGTCTGGAGGGATGTCACCCAGCAAAGGGTCCAACCAGGCCTCACATACCCCCTGGCCACGACAGCTGGTCAACAGTGGGGTCTGTCTGAAACTCCTGGGTGCTGGAGACCTCGGGTTCTCGCTTTCCTGCATGGAGAGATGAGAATATTATCTCCATGCTATAAATATCTGCCTTCACAAATGACCTGCTTTTCCACACACAAACCCAACATGATCTGCCCACCTACTAGAATAAAGGGAACATGGTTGTGGGAGAAACGTGTTTTGTATTTCTGTATCCTTGTAACAAACAAATTGGAACCTGAAATTTTAAAACTCGTGTAGTCGTCACACCCATTTTAGATGCTGATTCAATAATTTAAGATTATTTTGCAAACAGGATTAGAAAAGAACTCTTAAGAAAAAGAGCAACAAAGAGAAGATCTTCTTAAGAGAGTTGCTCTGAAAGAAGATCATTAGAGAAATGTTAAGGATCAGCCTGCAAACTTGCTAACAGTAACATCAGGGTAACACAAAGACCTGCATGCCTGCCCCAGCCGAAGTTCACAGGAGGTGGAGAGGGGAGGTGTCAGGGCTAAGACCCCCTGACTTGATGATCTGATTCAGTAACTAGGGAAAGGGGACACCCCTCCCACTTACCACTTTGGTCTGTGTTCCCCAAGAAGTCCTGGCCCGATCAGTGATGTGGGAGCCATGAAGAGGCAGCACCTGAGAGGCGTGACTGGGAAGAAATAGGGCACGCCTCTGAACTGCCCGCCTGAGCCACACACACACACACACACACACACACACACACCTGTTTCTGAGTCACCGCTCTCCAGATGGACCAGTGCTTACTGCCAGATGCCTGTCTCCTTGACAACAGGCTTTCTGCTGTCCTGGGCTTCCTGACCGTGGGACTTCTCCGTGCTACTTCAGTGCTACCCAACTATCATGAAACCTCTCCAGTCCCTGCTGCAGCAGCCAAACAATTCCTGGCTTGCTTATTCCAACAGCAGAGTTGCTACCTGCTAGGCAGACCCCAGCGGGAGAGGCAGACCCCAGCGGGAGTCACAGCCCCCAACCTGTCCCGCCCCAGCCTCACTAAGCTCCTCTGGCATCTTTCAGGGGCCCTGCTGGGCCATGTTCTGAAACGCTGAGCTGGTCACTCTCCATGGCGATGCCAGCCCAGGACGGCACAGGGACAGCACAGGATTCGCTTTCCCTCTGATCTCGATGGATTCTCATCAGGATGCAGTTTTTAACAACAGCCAAAAGGTAAAACCTTTGCATTTGTACAGCTCTGTTTTCAGGCCATGTTTCTGTCAGGACTTCGTGGTGGCTTTGGCCTTAATGATGCAAGCCCTATTCTCCGTTACTTCACTCTCACTCTGCAAAAAGGGACTCCCGTGAGCATGTTAACTCAGCCAATTGGTTACTCAAAAGTACAAAAAGGCCCTCCCAACAAGGACACACCTTAAAATCAAAACAGACTAGCTGCATGCAGGCCCACAAGGATTCTCCAGAAAGTTCCTAGAAGTGTGACATGGGGAAAAAGCTGCAGTTTCCAGAGTCTTCCTGCACCCAACGCCTAGTGAGCTGAACGTCCCACCACCACTCGTTCGGTTGTAGAGCTGTGCTTTCGTCCACCGTTTGCAGCACAGGTGGCAACACGAGCAAGGAGAGCCAATCATGCCCGCCCCGGTGCAGCCATACTCAGCTGCCTCAGGTAAGTGCATGTGGCCGGGGAGGCAGTGGGTGGGAAGCCCATCTCTTGTGTGTCTTTGGACTGGCATCTGACAGGCTGTCACTTCGTGGATATTCCTGGCTGCAGAGGGCAGCAGAGGTTCTGTGCTTCACAGGCAAGGCAGGTGACAGCGACACGCAGCCTGGCTGGACATGTTTGCTCCCACAGCTCTTCAGACACGGTCTAAGTCACCTCTAAGGCTCTAGATGCCATTTAAACATCCTGCTCACCTTAAGGAACCATCACTCAGGTGTTGGGGGCAAGGGGGGAAGAGAAGCACAGTGGCCCCGCTCTGCAGCGCCCCACTGGATGGTGGGTTGGAAGGGGGAAAAAAGACTTTGCCTCAACCGGCCAGCTTGGGCTACCCACTGCTGCTACCTCCTGCTGCCTCCAGTGATTAGATTTCTCGGTATGGCGAGGTGGAGTTTCTTCACTGCCTTAGTAATAAATGGTGCCGAGTCATTTCCCTCCTGGCTTTGTTATGACATGGTGGCAGGGAGCGTGGCCCCCTGTCCGCAGCCAAGCCTTGGGCCTTGCCGAGTCCCGTCCAGATGCGAGTGGTCCACCTTTACTCCGACGTTTTCCCAGTCGCTGTGCCCTCTCAGATGCGACAAGCTGCCACCCCACCTGTCCGCAGCACCCACACACACACAAGCCTAGTCTATGGGCCCATCAGATGCCACCCTGCCCAGAAGTCCTCGGGCGGTGCCAGCATTCCATTCACTCAATGTGCCAGGAGATGGCCCCTCTGCGCAAATTTCTCGAGTGTACAGTATAGTACAGGTTTTGGTTTAGGGTTAAACATTTTCAGAGACCAACTTTTGTATTCTGGGGAAACCTAACAGTCCTTAACCAGGGATATTCTAAGAGCCTGAGCACTCAGATTTTCCATTCATGCCACTTCCAGATGGCTTCAGATGTTGCAGTCATTGGCAACAGTTAAATGGAAAATTGCAATCTCTGGCTCACTCTGATCACACCAAGTACAAGTTCAGTCCCTAAGAACCCAAAACCTCATTTTGTACCAAGGAGGCAGGCCAGGGATTTCCTGTGGTCAAGTCCTCTTTGTAGGTGTCAAATACGTAGTGCTTATACAAATGTATGAAGACAAGACTTAATTACCGAAGTTCCCGTTAGTAGCTCTCAAGTGTTGGGTGTGGGTGTTTAAAAATAGCTGCCCGAGTGCCTTGCCAAGGCTCAGCTCACCCAGACGATGACAGCACAAGCTGGGTCACTCGGACCTCCTGTCACACTGTCCACCAAACTAAGAGAACATGGAGCCAGAGTGTCAGAAAGTCATGTTTGCTTCTTGCAGTCAGAAACTGAAGTCACAGGAGGACATGGCTGTCTCCCCTTCAGGTGGTTCTGCAGACGGAGGATGGAGCGATGTCAAGCCCAAAGCCGGTGGGAGGTGGCAGCCAAGCAGTAAAGGAACACCAGTGACTTGCTCAAGCTGCTGTCTCCAAAAAACGGCAAGGGACCACGTGTGGCCCAACCTCCTGGTACCTAACCAGAGGAAAGGGCTGACCTGGCGGGAGGCTATGAGCTTCAGATCCCACTTGCTGGTGTATCCCCAAGTAGGAACATGGGTCTCCACGTCCTTCTGGGTCCATTAAAACATGAAATTTTGCAACTGCGGCAGCAAGCCTGGGGCTCGTGACCAGAGCACCACTGGTAAGCAATGCCTCCCCACGGGCCCCGGTCAGTGAACGGGCTGGTTCCTCAGCAGAAGGTGCACTACACTTTTTGGACATGTTTACTTAGGGATTTTTCACTTCATTTTGGAAACTTATTTCTGGACCAAAAGAAGTGAGGAATGCATGGTATATACCATCAAGGCCTACATCTTTGTTTAAATTTTACTTTTTATTGGAAAGTCAGATACGCAGAGAGGAGACAGAGAAGAGCTTCCACCTGCTGATTCATGAGTAGATATATGCTTCTGTAGCTTGCTGGTTCACCGGCTACACTGTAGGTGCCAGGAGACCCCACGCCCCGTGGCCCAGCAGATGTGTGGCACACTGAAAGACCCTGCCACTGACATAAAAGAAACAAACTTTCACACCCTGCCTCTCCCCCCAAATTGTCAAAACAGGTCAAAGTGACTTTGGCAACAGTCTCTATCATCCCATTCTGACCTTTCTTAGAACACGTGTCATAACTCAGAAATCCTGTTATCACTCCAGGAAAACCAGATGTGCTCATTTTTCTTCTGCCTCCTCTGCCCACTTCACTGAAGATGCACTCTTCCGCTGAGCCCTGGCTCATAAGCTTCGAGAAGGCAGCTAACACACAACCTCCTCTTTGGCACCAGGCATCAAGACCTTGACTATTTCTAGAACCACTGCTGAAGCTCCCTCTCATCCTGAGCATAGCAGCACAGCACTTTCTCACACAAGTCAGTGCAGCAGCTTCTGCAACAACCAAGAAATGTTAGATTACGGCTGAAGGAGTCCTGTCCACTGCTGGGGGGACACGGTCCTGCTCTTCCTCTCGGCTCATCTTGGCTAAGCAGCATTGTCCAAGGCTGACGCTGTGTCAGCAACAGATGCTGTCTGATGTGGTCCTTTAAAGGCTGGTTTTGCTCTCACTTTTGAATAAGCTAAGTCTTCTGCCTAGTTCACTTCCCATCTGAACGGTTAGTCTGTTGAGCACACCGTTCTGTCCACTTGGGTGACAGTCATGGCTCCCACACAAAGCTCTGTCTCCTCCACAGCTCCGAGAAGCTACATAATAAATCCAGACGGTAAGGTGTCTAACAATCTATCTACTGGTTAAGTATTTCCGAAGTTCTGATGTGTATTATATTGGTTGGCCTAGTATGAACATTTTAAATATTTACAATGATCCCTTTATATAAAGATTTATTTATTCTGAAAGTTCAAGTTACAGAGAAAGGGAGAGCCAGAGATATTTTACCTACCGGTTCCCCTCCAGATGGCTTTGATGGCCAGAAGCCAAGAGCTTCACTCAGTCTCCCATGTGGGTGGTAGGGTCTCAAAGCTTTGGGTCACCTATTGCTGCTTTTCCCAGGCAATTAACAGGGAGTTGGATTAGAAGCGGAGCAGCTGAGACAGGACCCGGCACAATGGAATCCTGGCATCACAAGCTCCAGTTCTCCCCGCTATGCCACAAGGCCAGCCCCCTTCACTGACCCCCTTAAGCTACTTGTATCTTGCTAAGAATGTGCCAGCATGAACGGGTTTTGTACAGATCCTTAGGCCAAATCATGACAACAGCATTAAAGGTCCAAGGCGCTCCTGGGCAGTGCCTTCCCACCTCTAGCTGGAGAGAAACAGCACAGTTACATGGTCTGAACTCAGGAAAAGTATACTTTCGTCTCATTATTAGTAACTTTGAAGAATGCTGCTTATCTCCACTGGAAAATAAGTTCCACGTGGTGGGGAAAGTAAAAGAAAATAGTTTTAGAAGCATTTCATGTAGCACAAAACTTTACAGGAAGTCTCAAGTGACAAAGAAAGAAGAAACAAGTAATTTGTCAATGTCTTAGTATTTAATAGCTACAAAAATGTGATTTGGTAAGCACACTACATGGGAACCATGATTAGACATGCCCAGGGCTGACTGGGGTGGAGAGCGCATTTCCCCTCTGCGGGAGGAGCCAAAGGCACGAGCCAGAGCAGGGCCGCTCTGCTGCATCCCTACCCCTCCTCCCTGGACGCCAATGGCAGCACGCTGACTCACAAAGTCCTCTGGTGTATCGTCCAGATTGAGCAAGGGCATGTTTCACCTCTGGACTACTTTCTAAAACTTTGGCCAACCTAAGACTCTGACAGCAAGGATGCCCATGGGGCAAACCCACGGTCTCTTGCTATAGCACACAAGACAAAGCAGAGCCCATCGGAAGGGGCTGCTATGTTGGAAGCGAAGCAACAGCTGAGTTAAAGGAAAACGGACACACACAAGCTCATGCGCCCCACTGTCAGGCCATCCTCCCTGTCTGACAGTGGGCTGATGTCATTCCAAGGTCATTTACAGCTGGCTTTGCTATTAAGAAATTAGCAGCAACTTTAAAATTCACTCCATGATGAAATTAGCATTAACGATGAAAGGCAGCCGTGGGCAGCTGCGCGGGTTTGCTGGGTGTGGCCAGGGCAGCCCCTAGGGGAGCACTTCCGTTTCCACCACTTGAGGCGACACAGCTGACTGCCAACTGTGCTTTCCATTCTAGCTGATGGTCACCAAGGCTCGGGATGGGAAAAGTGCGATGGCCAAAGAGATTTGCTTTAAAAATCAGGATAATGACAAGCTTCAAGTAAAAATCCATTTAAAGGATCCATTTCTTATTTACATATAACCAGTACATTTCATTTACAAATATATGACTGAATTTTTATTTAACTTTCTCCATCCAAGAAGAAATTTTAACTGGTAGGCAACTGTTGGGATCATTTTTCATAGAAAGACTTCCCTTTTATTCCCAGGCAGTTCTGATGATTCTAGCCTGCCTCCACACGGGGAACAGACACGGCAGGATGGACAGCCTGTGCCAGGCCTCGCCTGTACCCGAGGCGCTATGACAGCTGGCAAGAGCTCCCGCGCACAGGACCCTGCAGCGCCTCCAGGAACTCTCGCTTCCGACATGGCAGCCACTGCCGTGAGATGCTTATGACAATGCTCATCTCTTCCTTTCAAAAAAAAAAAAAAAGAAAAAGCCACTGATTTTTCTAGTGATATTGAAAGTATCTGAGTTCTTGAACCCTCAGAATACTCTAATAGGCTCCTAACAACACAACATGCCACCACAGCCTGAAGGTGTCTGTGCCCAGTCCTCAGGGTTGGAGTGCAGGTGTTTCCTGTCATGTAAGGCACCCTATTCCACTTTCTTCTTGAAAGAAACTTTCTCTTTGGTTTCCTGTAGCTTCTCGCTGAGCCTGTCCTTGGTCTCCTCCATCTTCTCAGAGAGCAGCTCCTTGGTCTCCTCCATGCGATCCTGCAGGTACTCCTTCACGGGCGGCGGCGTGGACATGTAGCCTCGGCTGCGCAGGTACTTCACGGTGAAGGACGTTCCTCCCAAGGTCACAGTGTACCGGGCAGGTGTTGCAATCTGCAGAAAAAAAAAGCAAACAGGCAGATCAGCACCTGGTTAGAGCTGTCATCTTATGAAAAATGGGGTTGAGGTTTAAATTCTCTAGATGAACCAACCAAAATAAATGACTAGTTTACAAGGCTAAAACATCCTCTAACTATCAATGCACCTGTTTTCATACTATGCATTTTCCACAAAGTATATCCAAGGATTTCCCCCCTCAAATTTGTGAACCAGCATAAGTTTAATTTTTTGGTTCCATTTTCCATGGACTTTCTCAAGTGCCTTCACATATCTACAGCTACAGTGGAATAAAACTTCTCCACATGGCGATAAGCAGACCAAGTCCAACATATGCTCTCTGCTGGATTCAGCTTCACTTCCAAATTCTTTGGAATTTTCTGAGCCTATGCTATCTTCATCACAATTTACCTTGGGTCTGGAATTCCAGCTGGAACCTTCTGGAGGTCAAAGTGGTGAAACAGTGGTGCTCATGGCACAGGCAGGCACAGCTCTAACTCCAGCCACAGCCTTATGGATCAGAGCTAAACTGGAGATGCCTAGCCAGAGGGAACTGAGACCCAAGAGGTTGTGTCGATTGTGACTGCTGGGGTGCCGATTACCAAAACCCTTGCAAAGAGCAGCTGTGCTTGCTCCAGTTTCCAGCCAACTGTACCCATTAAAGCTTGCACCCAGGTCCCTAATACTCCCTGCTCCTGGGGTCTGGACACTGTCACTGAGCACAGGGGCCAATACTTGGTTCCTGCACCTCGCCTTTTGCCACCCACCTCCCTCCTCCAGTGGTTCTCCAGTTACAGGTCTTCAATGCCATCTATGCATCGATGGTTTTTAGATTGAGTTTTCTAGACTGAAATTCTCCCCGTTATTCCAGCCATCAGCAGCCATCTAGTGACCTCCCCTTCCTAGCAGGACCCCAACAGGTTCAGCAATGGCCTCCTGACTCACATGTTCCCCTCAGGGTGCTCCTCTGGAAGCACTTGCCATTGCAGAAATGCAAACTCGGACCTGAACACTCAGCCCTGGTGTCTATGATGTGGCTTCAGATGTTCTCTCTCGTGTAATTTACACCCAAATCATCAGAAAACCCATCTCTTCCACCTCCTCCAAAATAGACCTGGCTCCAACTACCTCTCACAGCGCCTCTTCCAATGACCTGGGTCCTTCCCATCACTAGGCTACTATGTTAACTTCCTGCCAGGTCCCTTGGCTCTTATCCTTACCCTCCATGGCAGAGTTCAGAGGTTTAACATACCCAGTGACTTTCCATATGCTCACAGCAAGAGTTCAAGTTCTTAGAAGGGCTGACAAGGACACCTGATTTGGCTTTCTCTCCTCCACTGGTCCTAAAATCCCAATACTGCACCCCTTGGCATCTCCTGTGTTTAACACTATTCTCCTAGGAGCCGCCCAATCAACACTCCTCTCTCAGCAGACCTTTAAACTCACATTGCAACCTTCCCTGAAACACCCCATAAACACACCCCTAGCCCTCGTGACTCCGTCTTCTCAATGCTGACCACTCTGAATGGGTCAACATCCATGCACATTTTGCCGCCTAAGGGGTGCACCGTTCCTGGAGGTGCTACAATACCAGATCAATGCACCGAGTGATTGGAGCAAGCTCCTATTCTAACTCCAGGTTCCAAAAATCCATTTAATATATTGTCCTGATTGATTAAGGTTACTTTATTCCCAATGTAACCAGAAAGTTGAAATGTATGAATTCAATGTTTTGCTATAGAAAACACCAGCAATTAAGCCTTAGTCTCTAAGCAAAAATTACAGTAAAAGACTTCACAGGATTCTATTAAGGATGACAGAATACATTACTATGAATAGGACTAATAAGCCATGATTACAGGTGTTTTTGTAAATGGAAGTAAAATAACATGTTCTACATGTTTTCTTTGGTAGATGATTTAAGATGATTTTACAGAACTTCATAAGAATTTGTCAACTGAGAAAATTATGTCTGTATAGCTAAATCCCATAATTTATAGTGAATCCTTCCTTCCAAAATAAAGACCCATGAGTATAGAAACTATTCATGAAGCAAATGGTACTGAACTCCAGAACAGCTATACACTGTAAACATCTAAAAAAGACGTACTTAGGTCTAACAGCCAAATGGCTAGGTTTACCACATAAACACAGTTTAAGTCAATTCTTACCATTTTACTTGCTAGGAAAAGGTGAGCTATCCTAAGCAATAAACCAAATGCTACATTTCATTAAAACAGCAGGCAGGATACACATCCCTGTGGGAGGGAAAAACCGCCAAGTCTGTTTGATCCCAGAAAGTCGGAAGTGATCCCCCGCATTTTAAGGCACTTTCCCCAAAGCCATCATGTTATTTATATTTTACAACTCTATAGCTTTACTTCACTAGACATATAAGAGATGAAGAACAATGGTGTCAGCTGTAAAAGACCACGCACGGTAAGTGAACACAGAATTCCACATGGGTCAAGTCTGCAGGTAACAGGGCCGTCTGTGTGGAACAGCACCCACCTTGAACATGGCATATGCTGTCAGTGCATTTCCGCTCTGGGAATTTTTCAGGATGTTTACCACGCTGTCAGGTAACCCAATGAGTTCTAGAAAAGGAATGACATTCACTCCTCTATGAAAAAAAACAAAAAGTAATTTATATACATATAAACTTAGTAGGATTTTTTCAAAAGATTAACTGAAAACACCAAAGCTACATTTTACTATAGTAGGTATTAATCAAATTTTGTTTTTATAATTGGTTCTGTATACCAAGCACTTGCATTTTACTCTGAGAGCATCTTACTCAGTGTACAATATACACGATACACACAAGCATCACTGTCACGCTGTATCTTACCGCTTGCAACTTCTAGCTTGCTTCTGCACGTGGGCATCCTAATTAGTATATTTAGAAAACAGAATAATGAATAGCTCTAGTTTCCTCATCAAAACCCCACTTGTTTAGAATGTTCCAGCTTAAATTTCAGTACCTAAGTTTCTGCCTTCAAAGTTACATGCCCTCATGTATTGTGACATTATGCAAAGAATAAAAGGCTTGATGAAGAATTCAGCTCTTCTAAAAGGATGCTTCCATCCTGTTATCAGATTTAAAAGGTAGATGAAGAAGCAATGACTGTTAACTGCAGAACGTTTTGGAGGGAGAGGGAGGGAGAGCAGAGAAAGCTTCCATCACCAGCTGTCTTCGTCTCCTGAGGAAACCTTTGCTACCCTTGTTCCCTTGCTTCTGCTTCCTCTCTCCTCCCCTATGTGGCTTCACAGACACTGTGGCCCTTCACTCCTAAACCAGGACAAAGCTCTATTTGCATAAGCATAATGATCACACACGAGAAATGGAACATTTGATACTAAGAGTTACATATTGCCCTCGGATGTCCCTTTTGCTGTCTTTCCTGCCCCCTTTCCTTGGGAAGAGCTTCCAGGCATGTTTTGCTTGGGACAAGGCTATGCGTCTTCTGTGACACTGGTGTTTTCCAGCTTCCAGGCCAGCTGTCTGGTGGCACCTCTCTCAAGGTGTGTTTGGAACTATTTCCTCATGCCTGGATCCAGAGTTAATGCTGTGTGCATCTCAGGGCATCAGAGCAGGGACCTCATGCCAAGGGGCTATCCCAGGCTAATGTTCCTGATCCTGACTCCGGGTTGTGGCAGAGCCACCCAAGGGTCATTAGGGGTGGGCGTCTAGCCTAGATGTTTATTAAGATGTCTACACCCTACAGGACAGTGTCTGGGTTCTAGGTACGTGCTTCCAGCTCCTGATGGCAGTGTTCTGCTAATGCAGACCTTAGGAGAGCAATGATGGGTAAGCTGGACTCCTGCCACCCACCAGGGAGAGTCAGACTGAGTTCTTGGCTGCTGGCTTCAGGCCAGCTCAACCCTGGCCATCACAGGTAATTCGAAAGTAATCCAGTGGATGGGAGCTGTCTCTCCATTCCCAACATGAAAGCAAGGAAAGAAGGAGGGGGGAGGGGAAAGGAAAGGAAAGGAAGGGAAGAGAAGAAAAAGAAAAAAAAAAAGGAAAGAAAAAAAGAAAGCAAGCTCAACACATCACTCACTGCTATTTATGCTAGTGTGAACTCTTAAATATTAAGAAATAATGCAGGGGGAGGGGAGATCATGACATAGCTGGTAAAGCTGCAGCCTCCAACACCTGCACCCCCAGTGGGCACTGTGTCCTGGTGGTCCCCTTCCAGTCCAGCTCCCTAATGGCCTGGGAAGAGCAGATGATGGCCCACATGTTTGGGCACCTGTGCCCACATGGAAGACCTGGCTGAAGCTTCCAGCTCCTGACTCAGCCCTGACCACTGTGGCCATCTGGGGAGTGAACCAGTGGATGGAAGGTCCCTATCTGTCTTTCCCACTTTCAAATAAATAAATAAAACTTTAAAAAATATCATTTCAGTTGGGAAAGGGTGCCCTTTCCCATGAATTCATCACAGTATGAAGCAACCAGAGAGTATTCTCAACACTACTGGTCAACTACGGATGGCCCAACGTAAGAGGGTACCAGAAGAACTCAGGGAACATTATTAAAAACACAACTATAATACATTCACAACTCAACTTAGATCCAATCTGAATGATTTCCAGCTTCTAATCTTTCCCAACTTTTGATATAAGGTGTATCTTTATACCCATGAATGTGGGTTCAGATCTGGAGTAAGCCATTCCATGTTTTTAATCAAGTTATTAAAATAATCAATATTTACAATCAATATTTATAATCAAAATAATCAATGCTATCCTATTTTTACCTTCTGGTACCAACACAGTTATGAAATAATTCATTTATCATTTCCTTCTCCAACCAAGCCCAGTAAAAAAAAAAATCTATATATTTAAATACAACCATGAAGGAGCCAAATAAAAACACGAGTGACTACAAAACAAACATGTAGTTTTAAATTGTTGATTTTTCTTCAAAAAACAAAAAGAAAAAAGCCTCATTTCCTTTGGACTTGCTAAACATGAGAACCTTGAAGATCTGTGCAGTTTGCCAGGCAGGAGTGACAACAGAACTTAGTTTAAAATAAAATCTATTGCAGGTACAACTTAGATGTGCCCAAAATACAGCATTTCAAATGCCCCTGAACTCGTACGAAGCAGGGAGTAGCATTTTGCTGTGTTTCTGAGCAAGGCAGTCGGACCAGCATGTGGGTGCAATGAGATACTCGCTGTCAGTACCACGGGGGGACATCAGCGGCTGCCACTCGGGGAGTGAACCAGCAGATGGACGAGCTTTCTCTTTCCTTCTCTCCACAACTCTGCTGTTCCAATAAAAACAAATCTCAAAAAAAAAAGCTAACACAGCAGGTAACTTCTTGTTAGTTGAACTGAAAACACCTGCACTTAACAATGAACTTTAAGTCCTCTCACAGATATTACCATTCCAACATATCCTGCCTTTTTCTTTCATCCATGAGTTCTATTTGTTGAGTATTACTTGTGATAGATATCTCACCACACATCGATTTGTCATACTGAAATATTATGGATCTATATAAAATAAGGGTGGGCACTGCCAGGAAGCAGTAGACCCTGCAGCCCAGGGATCAGTGGCACGGTATTAGGGATGGGCTGGCCAGGGAGTCTTGCCCAGGCGGCCGCAGGAGGCCTCATCACCAGGTTCCCAGTCTCAAGTCATCTGTACAGAGCAAGGACAAGAGTGTACAGCGCAGTCCTCCCCCTGCGCTCAGGCATAAGCAATCTGCAGGGAGAGGAGAAGTAAAACCAAGCAGGCTGCAAGTCCCGGCAGAGGAGAGCCACCACTGTGCATCTGCTGCTTTAGTTACACAACTCTTCTAGCAAAGAAGGCGAGGGGAAGAAAAAGAAACCAGCATTTTCTTTTTATAACTCAAATAAGGGGCCAATACTGGGTGAAGTGGGTTAAGTCCCTGCTGTGGTGCTGGCATCCTGTATCAGTTTGAGTCCAGGCTACTCCACTTCCTCTCCAGCTTCCTGCTGATGACTCCTGGGGAAACAGCAGATGATGGTCCGCGTGCATCAGCCCCTGCCCCCAGCATGGGAGTTGTGGCTGGAGTTTCGGGCTCCTGGCTCTGGTCTGCCAAAGAACCGCATGTTGTGGCCATCTTGGGAATGAATCAGTGGATGGAAGATCTTTTTCCTATCCCTACTCAGCCCCTCATCACTCTCCTTTTCTAATACATGAATCTTTTTTTCTTCTTAAAGTGGTCTAAATGAGAAACTCATATCCAAATTAATTAAAAATTTAGAGTTCTGCTTTTGAAGACAGGATCCTGAAGGCATATTAAGGGCAACATAAGGAGGGCAGAAGAAAAAGGGATTAATTCAAGTCTCTTCTGCAAGCCTGGATTACAGGAATCCTCAATGGCTCTGAGTGGAAACAAATATGTACAAAGCCGTTTGTTACTCGCAGGACTAAATGTCCATTGTAATTTTTACTCAAGAACTTTTTTTTTTGTTCTGTCAAACTAAGGGGAATTTTGAAGGTTTCTGTAAACATTACCATATCCAGAAAATATCATTAAAAACAGAAAAGTACAGATACGGGATCTTCTTCAGGAATGGTATTGTGCCCAAGGAAAACGATCCACTGACCTAGTACCCACACTCTGAGGCTGCCCAACTCTGCCGTGCCCAGCCCAGTGCTGCAGAATGGCACGTGGTGCTCCTGCTGCTAAAGCTGCATGGCACTGTAACTCAGCTGCAAAGAAGGCACAGGAGTTAACAAGAAACACACATTAGGAATTCTGCCCCGTGAGGCCGGGCTCAACCACACGTACCTTACAACACAAAACCCTTCATGGCAGCGCCTGGAGGTGACATCACAGTGTGAGCCTGCAACTGCTTGTTGTTTATGGCTAAAACTGATAATAACAATTCCTAAGACCACACGTGCAGCAAGATGCGCCTTGTTTCCTGCATTTATGAACCCTCCTAGGAAACCCTAGGAGTGCTGCCAGATTTCCGAAGCCTGCGATATTGTTTTCAGGCTTTCCTTAATGCTAGCCAAGAGCAGTGATGAAAAGGGCCGTGAGGCCAAGCACACGCAGCTGGGCTCTCAGCCAGGCTCCACCTCCTCCCACCTGAGCTACTCCCTGCCTGAGCTGCGTTCTCACCGATGGAGAGAGCGGTTCCCAGCTTCATATGGTGGCTCTGAGGATGAAAAGTACTTACTTAAGGCTATCATTAGTATAATTAACAAGGTTAACATCTGATAAAGGCCAACCAAATGAAGGACTTACTTGATGGCTGCATAATAAAACGTTCCAAACCAAACACCAGAAGTTATCAGGTGCACTGGAATCAAAACCTTCCCATATTGCCTAAATGTTCTCTTAAATCGTTGATAAAGACTAATAGATTTGTCTTGTAAAGGATCAGCCTCTTCCTTTTGGTCTGAAGGAACTCCGTGGCCTGTGGCCTTGGATGATAACACCCTCCAGGACACAGCAGCTTGCTCCCGTGGCTTATGGCGCAGCGTCTCGGGTCCGGGGGGAGGAGCAGCCAAGGTTTTGCTCCGTTTTGCAACACACTGGGCGGCAGCTAAGTGCAGCCACTGTTTTCGAGGGCTTTGTGCTAAAACCACGTTGGATTTAGCATTGAACAAAATGAACGGTCCTTTCATGTCTTGACAGTGTCCCCAAAGGCCAGCTTTTTGTGGTTCCAGGCACGTCCTGTGTGCCAGTCGAAATACTGTCCTTGGCACATTCCATTGCATCTTGAAGGATGACGATAGATTTCAGCGTCTAGATTAAAAAGATATCAGATTACACAAAGGCTTCCATTTAAATCAAACAATCATTAACTACCAGGAGGTAAAAAAGGACACACTTAATTTCTCACTGTGGGTAAATTAAATTAAAATTACAGTATAGGGCATGTTTCACTGAGGCACATGACGTACACGTGACACAGTAAAGCAGCTCAGCGGGCCAGAGGGAATCGTTTGGAGACACCACTACCGCAGAGATGTTCAAATGCTTCTGTTAGTCTACAAAGCAGCACTGTGGTAAAATGGGACGGAACTGGAGGCAAACAACGGGACGTGCACGTTCTGGAAACAATCCCATGTGATTCACTCGGACTCCAAATGCACCGGAACAACGAGGGTGACTTCACAGGGCTCTTACAGGAATCACACAAGCCATGGCGCACCACCCAGGTGTCGGCTATCGTTACAGATGTCAGGTCAGCTGACACTTCACGTTGATTCCTCCACTAATGCCTTTAGACCAAGTTGTAGAAAAACAGAAATCACCCGTCAATGCATGGTGAGAACAGCTGGTGTAGCAGCCATCTTTTCCCCCCAATCAAGAGTGGAGAGGACCGATGGTGTACAGTAATGTCTTAGTACTTGACTTGGTGTCATTGTGGGATTAAGTTTGACAAAATGTCTTTTCCAGACACCCAAATCTTTTCCCCAGAAAGGTAGTAAAATGTAACTTAAAAAAAAAAAATAATAATCTCAGGGGCCCGGCGCGGTGGCACAGTGGTTAAGGTCCTCGCCTTGCACGCCCGGGATCCCATATGGGCGCCGGTTCTAATCCCGGCAGCCCCGCTTCCCTTCCAGCTCCCTGCCTGTGGCCCGGGAAAGCAGTCGAGGACGGCCCAAAGCTTTGGGACCCTGCACCCACGTCGGAGACCCGGAAGAGGCTCCTGGCTTTGGATCGGCATAGCATCGGCAGTTGCGCTCACTTGGGGAGTGAATCATCGGACGGAAGATCTTCCTCTCGGTCTCTCCTCTCTGTATATCCGCCTTTCCAATGAAAAAATAATAAAAATAAATCTTTAAAAAAAAAAAAAATCTCACACTTGGGGTCTGGCGCAGTGGCACAGTAGTTAAAGTCCTCGCCTTGCATGCGCCAGGATCCCATATGGGCACCAGTTCTAATCCCAGGAGCTCTGCTTCCCATCCAGCTCCCTGCTTGTGGCCTGGGAAAGCAGTCAAAGACGGAGCAAAGCATTCTTTCAAAGCTACAGAGATAAAGACCAGTGAAAAATCATTTAAATACAAAAGGACTGAAGTAGCCACAGGAGGAAATGATGAGGCCTTTCATCATTTTACAAAACTGACTCTCTCAAGGCTATCCTCTGTGAAAGTCCAATGGCAAGCAAGGTTGTCTCACTGTGTTCTACATCAGGTACCATTCTGTGCACATCCACATGGGCCTCTGCCGTCAAAGACAGACAGATGGCTACTCAGCTCAGCAGAAACAGCAAGGGTCTATGTGCGAACACCCCCAGGACCACAGCAAATCACCCTGAGCAAATACCGCAGCCCATCCACAACCACAGCCTCCCGTGGTCCTGCTCGCTGCTGCCTTGCAAGCCTACAGCACCGACGACTCTAAGAAGGGACAGCCTGCTCTCAATGAATTCAGCTTCACTTATCTGGTCTGGTGAGTTCTCGCACTAAGCGCCAACTTATGAAGCCAGCTTTCCCGGCTTGCTTCCCATTATGCGCACTCATCAGGAAACTGGAATGGGTCATCTTTAACCGACAGGCCAAATACCACCCCCAAAGGTGTCTTTCAATTCTACGAAGGGGTTTTTTTTTTTTTCAAGTACCTTCTCATCTTCATTTAGTTATTCTGAGAAATTGCAGACACAGGAGTGCCTCTGAAACCTTGCATCTAGGAAAGAGTCTACCTTAGTGATGTAGAAAGCTAGCAAATTTAACAGCACATTACCTGCCAACTCTCTCTCTTCCAGGGGAAGTTTTTGAAAAAAAAAAAAAAAAAAAAAGAGATGAGTGACTGTGATATGGCACAGGCAGCTGGTTAGCCTCAGAGTTGAAGCTGCTCCCCACCCCAACCCACACACTGGCCCCACGTAACCCTATGCACCTACAAGTCGGTTAAACAACCCCTTCCCGGGCCCGTCACCATGGCCTAGCGGCTAAAGTCTTCTCCTTGAACACACCGGGATCCCATATGTGCGCCAGTTCTAATCCTGGCAGCCCCGATTCCCATCCAGCTCCCTGCTTGTGGCCTGGGAAAGCAGTCGAGGACGGCCCAAAGCTTTGGGACCCTGCACCCATGCGCGGGAGACCTGGAGGAGCTCCTAGCTCCTGGCTTCGGATTGGCGCAGCTCTGGCCATTGCGCTCACTTGGGAGTGAATTATCGGACGGGAGATCTTCCTCTCTGCCCTTCTTCCTCTCTGTATATCTGACTTTCCAATAAAAAGAAATAAATCTTAAAAAAAAAAAACCAACCCTGCCCCAGGACGTCTTCCCCCAACCTGGGACCTGGGGGCAGAACTGCATTCCCTTTTCTAGGCTCTGAGCAGCCTGGCGAAGCACAAACTCATTCTCATGTTTCTTTTCCTGCCCATTTCATCCCTGAAAAGGGCCCACTTTTCTCTGTGACTGCCCCACCTCTTAAATAAACCCTATCACACTGGTGCCTGTGTCTGGCTCAGCGGAAGGATTTCATGGTAGTGATCCCTTTTTCTCCTCAGGGCTTGACTTAGACTGGAAATGCTAGACAACTTTTCTTTTGCCAAGTTTGTGGGGGGAAAACCCCAGTGAAACCACCACAGTAGTACCAGGAATGTGAGACGCCAAGCATGGGGGGGCGGGGTTCCACGTCCCGCTTCCTGAAGAGGAACAGCCCCTGCCCATTACAGCGGACTGATAGTAAGTCACCCGCTGAAAATCTGGTTAGTAGTGCAATGTGGTGGCTGTTGCTTGCTTGTACTTTTCGGTTTATGCCGTTACTTCTCACCCCGGAATGTCTTCCAGCATGTTAGCTTTACAATGCTCACCACCCTTGAAGAAGTAACAATCACAGCAGAAATTAGTGAAAATGAAAAAGGGCAAAGCAAACATCAGTGAACTCAAAACCGAATCCTGTGACAAAGCTTAACTAGGAATTGAACACAATGTTAGCAGTTATCAGAAAAGAAAAAGGAATCACAGCTATTAATTCCACAGATATTAAAAAGGTAGCAAATTAACATAGACGAAGTGGACAAATTCACTAAACAACATAAACTACAACTTACACAAAATACAATCAGCAATTGTACTTTCAAAAAAGAAAGCAATAGGCGTGTGATATTTTACTGGTGAATTATACTGAACATTCACGGAAAACTAATGTCAAGCACAACTCCTTCTGAAAAACAGAGGCAGAAGGAAAACTTTCTAATTGTATGAGCCAGCTTTATTCTAATATCTAAACCACCTAAAAATAATCCAAGAATGGAAGACCAAGAACATGCCAGTCACGAATAGAAAGTCTTCAACACACAACAGTGAAACAAATCCAGCAATATCTGAAGAGAATCAATAACCCTGACCCAATGAAATTAAAAAAAAAAAAAGATTTTGTGGAAGTCAGCATTACAGGAGAGTGGGAGAGACAAATTTTGTCGTCCTGCGGATTCACTCCCTAGAGGGCCACAGCAGCCAGGGCTGGACCAGGCCAACTCCAGGAACTTCTTCTGGGTCTCCCAGGTGTATGGCCGCCATCATCCACGGAAAGCTGCATCAGAAGTGGAACAGCTGGCACAGAACCAGTGCCCGCAGGGATGGAGTACCAGTGTGGCAGGTGATGGTTTTACCTGCCATCACATAATACCAAATTGCCATCCCCACGTGAGATTTAAAAACCAACCCATCGCATGAACCCAACAAAAACTTCAAAAAAAAAAAAAAAATCCTACATCCATTTGCAACTTAAAGAAAACCGAGTCTCTGCAAACTAGGAGTGGAGTACAACTTTTTCAATTTTATCAGGAATATACACAAGGGGACACTTTCCTGGGAACAATGCAAGAAGCAGTGCTCTAGTCCTTTTTTCTTTTTCTTTTTTTTTTTTAAATTTTCAGATTCATTTATTTTTACTGGAAAAGCACATTTACAGAGAGAAAGGTCTTCCACCCACTGGCTCACTCGCCAAGCGGTCACAGTGGCCAGAGCTGAACCAATATGAAGCCAGGAGCTTCTTTCAGGACTCCCATGGGTGCAGAGTCCCTAGGCCTTGGCCCATCCTCTGCTGCCTTCCTGGGCCATAAGCAGAGAGCTGGAAGGGAAGTGGAACAGCCAGGACATGAATTGGCACCTGCAAGGGGAGGATTAGCCATCTGAACCATTGCACCAGGTTCTTCTCGAATCAATTTATCCAGCAACAGTGTACTCCAAATCTGAGCCAGTACAGTCAAATGAAGTAATACAATAGAAATTTAGAAGTATATAGATTGGAAGAGAAAAAATAAGACTTTTTACTTTCACATTTAATGAATGATTTTGTAGAATAAAACAAAGAATATACAAAAAGGCTCCTGGAACGAACAAGCAAATATAGCAAGATTGTAGAATACAAACTGAATATATAGCATTCAGCTGCTTTTGTATGTACCAGCAATGGTAATCAATACCACTTAGAACAGCAACCCCTAACAAAAAAAAATCATACCAAGAGATTTAAAATATAAGTATGGACAAGGTCTATTTGGGAAAAACAACAAAACTCTACAAGAAATCAAAGGTCAAAATAAATGGGAAGATATTCATGGACAGGAATAGTCATCATTAAAATACCAATTCTCTCAACAGGCTCCACAAGTTCAAAATCATAATCCCAATCAACAGCCAGACTCTAGAGTTTGGCTTTACTTGCCATAAAGCTGCAGGAGCAAAGGCTTTAGTACAGCAAACAACTCATTCTTTCAGGGAAGTGCGGCTATTCTGTATATTACAGCGGTAAACACATTTTGTGAAACCCCACAGAAGTACCTAAA